CTTTGACGGCCGTGCTGAAGCATCCGGTGAAGGGAGTCGTGAACCAGCAGGACGACAACATCCTTCACTGTGGGCGGGTCCCTACGAGGCCACGCCCCGCGGGATTGTGGTCGAGAGGGTCCTGGAGGCACTTACACGGACGGGCAGACGACGCGCGCGTTTCGTCGGATTATTTTAATCTCTTTCTCTCTTTTTCTCTCTTTCGTTCGATTTTCTCTCCCTAATTTCCTTTTCTAAAAATTTCTTTAATTTAGTTTCTTCGCGATGTCGAAGGAAGATGAAAGGTTGGATGGTGTTATGTGTATGTTGGGCGCGAGTGTGGTACAGTGGGCGTGGTGTCAGTGTGGGCGTTGGGTGTGTAAGTGGGCGTGTGTGAAGAGAAAGAGAGAAACGCCCACAAAATCGTCGATGGGCGGCGAGAATCTCCGTCGAGGGGAGATCAGGGCATCGTGTCCGTCGCGAATTTCGAACGGATCGATTTTCTCGTTTTTCAGTTTTTATTTTATTTTTTTAATGTTCCTCTTTTTTCTTTCTTTTTGGGATCAGATTTATCAATCGTTTTCCTTTTTTATTTCCTCTTTCGGGTCGTCAGTTCTAGTCACTTTCCTTCATGGGGTGATCTGCGAATATTACACACATTCAGTAAGCGAGTAAACAAAAATACCGGGAAAAACACGAAACACAAACAAAACAAACGAAGGGCGCGCGGCGAAGGAGGGAAGGACAACACAAACGCAAACACGCGATCGGATGGCAAAGGAGGAAAGGAGGAAAGGAGGAAGGAGAACAGTCGCTGTAGTAATAGGAGAAATAGGGAGAGAAGGATGAAGAGTAAGAGGAGAAAAAAAGTAGAAGAATCAGAATCAAGAAGAAGAAAGGGAGAGGAGGATGGGAGGAAAGAGTAGAAGAAGGAAGAGGAGGATGAAGGGAAAAGAGGAGAAGTAAGAAAGGAAAAGAAGGATAAGAGGAAAGAACGGAAGGAAGAAGGGCAGGAAGAGGAGGAAGACGAAATTAAGATTAGGATCGAGCCGACGGAAGAGTAACGCCGGGAACCCACACGTCTCCGCCTCGCGTCCCGCAGCCGCTCTACGCTTGAAGGACTTTCTGCCGGCGCTATATTGTACCGGACGCCGCCGGCTGCGCCTTTTTTTTCTTCCTTCTTCTTCTCCTCCTTCCCCGGAATGTTCGCCCGTGTTGATTTTCCGAGCCGCGCCGCCGGGGAAACGCTACGGAAGTGGTGAGCGCGATCGACGGTGACGCTCGCCGGGTTATAAAGCCGGAGATCGCATCTGCCGCGGCGCCGTTCCTCCCAGTCACGGACCGGCCCAGAAGCAGTAATTTCCAACAAATCGAGAACTGTGAGACCAAAAAAGAAAAAAAAAAGAAAAAGAAAATAAGAGAGAGAGAGAGAGAGAGAGAGAGAGAGAGAGAGAGAGAGAGAGAGAGAGAGAGAGAAAGAGAGAGAGGAGAGAGAAAGAGAGAGAGAAAGAGAGAGAGAAAGAGAAAGAGAAAGAGAGAGAGAGAGGAGAGAGAGAGAGGAGACACAAAGAGAGAGAGAAAGAGAGAGAGAAAGAGAGAGAAAGAGAGAGAAAGAGAGAGAGAGAGAGAGAGAGAGAGAGAGAGAGAGAGAGAGAGAGAGAGAGAGAGAGAGAGAGAGAGAGAGAGAGAGAGAGGAAAAAAAATATACAAAGAAAGATACTGTGCACGTGTATAAGAACTGTCGCCATCAGCTGTAATACAAGCGAGCGAGGAGACAGGGAAAGAGGCAAGAAGCAGCTTCGGAGTACCATAAGAGGCCGTTTAAATCCTCATCACGAACGCCTTCCGCTCTTCCCAAACGCCTCAAACTTTGTAACACAAACATTAGCGTCACACAGATGCTTCGCCAACACCTAAATAATGTAATAACACACAATGTCACTTTTGCCACAGGCCCAGAACAACAGAATAATTCCTCTTTTTTTTCCAATTCCGACACTCAAATGACACCCGACGCCTAACCGTCCGTCCCCTCCGGCAGCAGATCCGACACTGCGACTGTGACACACTCCGCCGACACCCTTTCTAGCACTACGCGGGTGTCTCCTTCGCCGTCCCGCTCACTAGTACGACCTTGATGACGACGACGATGGAGGGAAAGCAGGGTGAGGACTCCACCTCCCCCTCCTCCCCCCTTCCTCCTCTAAATCTTCCACCACCACCACCAACTCCAACCCTCCTCCTTAGCTTCTCAACTCTCATATCCCCTCCCCCCCCCCCTTTTAATCCCCATTTCTCAATCCCCCCCCTTTCCCCCCAAGACGATATTTCCTAACCTCGACCTCCAGACGCATCCTAACTCCCCTCCCCCTCCACCTAAAAAAAAAAAAAAAAAATCCATTTTCTCGCGGCCTTCCACTTGACCTGCAAAACAAACCACCTTAAACGCCGCCGCCAAGCTTAAAGGCAGGCCATATTTCAGAAGGTCTATTATAACCTGTCTCGACCCCGTCTCGTTCATCAAGGGAATCCACGCAACGTGTCGAACAACGAAAACACGCCTGGAAAAACAGAAAGAAAGAAAGAAAGAGAGAGAGAGAAAGAAAGAGAGAGAAAAACACAATAAACCGTTTAAAATTTTGGCAATTCAACAAAAGACGTAAACAAATAGATAATTAAATCCAACACGAAAAACAAAAACAAAAAAATCTTTCCGTGAGAGATGTTGGTCGAATGCACGAGGTTTGCAACATGTTCTGCGCTCTGGCGAATGACTGCTTTAACAGTTATTACAATTTGCCGAAGGAATGCATTACTCACACCTTGAGATACAGCGGAGCGCGAGAAATAAATACGGAGGCAGAAGTTATGCATGTATAAATATGCTTATGAATACACACATACACATAGAGAGAGGGGGAGGGGGGTTGAGAGAGAGAGAGAGAGAGAGAGAGAGAGAGAGAGAGAGAGAGAGAGAGAGAGAGAGAGAGAGAGAGAGAGAGAGAGAGACAGATAAACAGACAGATTAAGACGAGGGAGAACAAACTTAACAAAGACAGAAAAATACGAAAAATCGAAAGAGAACTACCGACTCCCCCCCACCCCACCCCTCAGCGTCCGGCGAGCGTAGGTCAAGCGTGAATATTTATCGCAGTCCTCCCCCCCTCACTAACCCCTACCCCCTCTCTTCCCTCCCAACACCTCACTAATCCAACCTAACGACACTCCCCCCCCCTCTTCCCTCCCTCCCCCCCACTCACTTCCCATCCCCAACTTTCCCTTTCCCCTCCCCCTCCCCCTCTTCCTTACCCCCCTTCCCACCTCCCCCTAGCCCCCTACCCCCCCCCCCCTAACACCCGCGCTACACCATTTTATTCACTTTTCATTTCACTTGATTTTATTTATTTCTATTGCTTTACGACCCGCTATCTCTGCACTCGGCCGCCCGGATGTGATTAACGACCCGAATGCCACGCCCACGCACGCCCATGCCTCAGCGCCTTGACCTTTGAAGGCTTGCAAGGTTAAATGGTCATATTGCATAGGTTCTAACGCTTTTCGCGAAGGTTCATTAAAAGGTATATTAAAAGGAGGTTCATTAAAAGGTACATTAAAAGCACGTTAATTAAAAGGCACATCAAAAGAAGGTTGATTAAACGTTATATTAAAAGAAAGTTAATTAAAAAGTATATTAATGAATGGTTATACAAAGGCAAAAATGAATAAATATATAATAAGGAAATGTCAGTAGGTGATTCAGCATAGATGAATACATAAATTAATGAATAATTACATGAGTAAAATAATAAATAAAATACGAGAATAGCTGACCAAATAAAATAATGAATAAAGAGATGAACAAATAAATAAAATAAATAAAATAATGACAAAAAACGAAGTAACTAATTTTTAAAAATAAGTATATAAAGATACAAATAGACGAACAAAGAAGCAGATAAATAAATGAATAAACAAGTGAACAAATAAATAAATAAACAAGTAAATAAATAAACATAAACATATAAGTCGACCGATGTCTGGGCAAGCAAGAGCTACGGTAACTTCCGCCGATTTTTAGGCCTGGTCTGGCGTCCTGGTAGGCCTAGCTATCCGATTCTCCCTGTGCTGTTTTCCCCATAACCCTGACTTTTCTCGTTTCGTCTCTTTCCTTTTTTTGCAGTTTTATTATTTCCATTGCGTCCTCATCATCATCATCATCGTCACAATCACAGTCATCATCGTCGTCACAATCATCGTCATCACCATCACCATCACATTTCATAGCAGTGGCGACGGTGCCAGATGTGTGAGGATGGAGGGGGGGGGGTGCCCAGAGAAGACACTAATGGCAATTAACCCCCCCCCCCCACCTTCCCGCACAGTGCCATTAGCGGCAACTTGGCACCCACAGCACTAGGCTCATGGCACCTGGTTGCATGACGGTAATTATGTTTGCATGTCATCACGCGGCGCTGGTGAAGGTGGGAGATGGTGAAGATAGTGATAGATTGAGGTAATAATGGTGATGGTGATTTAGAACGTTGAATAGAGGAATTGCAATATGAATGTAAATGATGATGACATATGTATTCGGCCAACATAAATAATAGTAAGAATAATAATGGCCATAATGACACTAATAATAATATAAATAATAACAATAATAATAATAATAATAATAATAATAATAATAATAATAATAATAATAATAATAATAATAATAATAATAATAATAATAATAATAATAATAATAATAATAATAATAATAATAATAATAATAATAATAATAATAATAATAATAATAATAATAATAATAATAATAATAATAATAATAATAATAATAATAATAATAATAATAATAATAATAATAATAATAATAATAATAATAATAATAATAATAATAATAATAATAATAATAATAATAATAATAATAATAATAATAATAATAATAATAATAATAATAATAATAATAATAATAATAATAATAATAATAATAATAATAATAATAATAATAATAATAATAATAATAATAATAATAATAATAATAATAATAATAATAATAATAATAATAATAATAATAATAATAATAATAATAATAATAATAATAATAATAATAATAATAATAATAATAATAATAATAATATAAATAATAATAATAATAATAATAATAATAATGGATAAGCATCATAATACTAATAATAACAAATAACGATACCAATGAAAAAGATTAATAACCAAGAAAGACAAATGAAAAATCGACCGATTCATCAAACACGAACTGGAAAAAAACGATCAAAAATAACAATTCCAATAAATAAAATCACCCCCCCTACGGCAAAGATAATAAACAAATAAATAAATGAAAGCAAAATACATAAAAAAGTAAAACAATTCGACGATTAATTAAGCCTTTCGAAACAGTGTCAACAGCAACGAACACAAGGCCCGTTACCGAAGCCATTTCAGATGAACGGGAGATTATGAACACTTTCGAACACAATGCCTATGAAGACAATATCTCTCGGACGGCCCCGTAATGACGATGAGACGGAGAATGAACAATGATCTTTTGTGTTATTGATTGATATGCAGGATGTTGAGAGAGGGAGGGAGGGAGGGAGGGAGGGAGGGAGGGAGAGGG